TTTATTTCTATTACTGTATGTCCCATGTTGCTTTTTCCTTAACAATTATCTCATAATTCTCATAGAATCATAGGAGATTATTGCACCTACAAATAATGTGACTGATCCCTAATGGGATACAGTCACGTTTCAGGTTGCTACCGAGTATTATTGCAAGTAATTCGCTGCTGTCACCGGGCAACTGCAACCTAGCTGCATCCCAAGTCCCAGCCCTGCTTTGGAGGCCACTTTTCCAAAATGACAAGTTCCCATTTTGGTTCCCAAAATAGCAAGTTCTTATTTTGGAAAATCAGCCTCTGAAGCACAGCTGGGGCCCAGGATGCAGCCAGGTTGCAGTCACCCAGCAGCAGTAGTGGTGAATTAAATACAATAATACCTGGTAGCAACCCAAAACATGACTGTATCCCATTGGGGAGCAGTTGCATTATTTGTAAGTGTGATAATCTCCATAGAGTTGGAAAAGACCACAAGGGCAATCCACTCGAACTCCCTGCCATGCAGAAACACAGTATCAAAGCACCCCCAACAGATGATTATCCATCCTCTGTCTAAAAAAACCCAAAGAAGAAAATTCCACCACACTCCAAAGCAGTGTATTCCCCTGCTGAATAGTTCTTACTGTATTAAACAGCATGGAAGACAGAACCAAGCCCTGAGGGGCACTACAGGCCAATGCAAGAGTATCAAACAGCCTCCCCCAGCACCACCTTCTGAGTCACCCCCAAGAAAGATTGGAGCCACTGCATAACAGTGCCCCCAGATCCATCCCAGAGAGGTGATCCAGAAGGATACCATGGTCGATGCTACTGAAAGTCACTGAAAGGTCCAGCAGAACCAACAGGGACACACTCCCTCTTTTCTAGCACAGGTCATCTTTAATCATGCAACCATCACTGTAGGAAGTATTTATTTATTTAATATATAAGTACTCTAATGTATGACATCAATGGAGTGCTAGCCAATAAAGGCAAATACCGCCTTTGTGATGAAAGCCACCCCGACGCGTTGGGAGGGACTATCAGTTGCGTCGGCCTCAAACGGGCTCGACGCATTACGATTGGTCAAGTAGCCCAGAAGTCCCGCCTTCCGGGCTGCTCAACCAATCGGAGTAAGTAGAAAGGGATAATCTCGCAAGACTTGAAGTCTCGCGAGATTACTGAGCAAGATTTGACCAGGCTATATAAGCCTGAGCTGCCTCGTGGCCGGCAGCCATTTTGAAGGTTCAAGCGAGCAAGCAGCTCGCTTCTCCGCTCGGTCACCTCAGGATTAGGGCCTAGTTTATGGACTGAAGGCCCGGGAAGGCAGCGGAGGATTGAGGCCTCGGCGGCGGTCCGCCCTCTTGGTGTC